GGGGGGGAATACGGTACGAAATGCGTCCATCTGGCTGATGATCTTAACTGGGGCTTATTTTTGGGGGTGTGGGGCTTATATTACGAGCGTCCTGAAAAAAAATCACGCTAGGGATTATCTTCCGATTGAGTCTCGTTTTCAGGGAAACTGGAGCCGGTTAGCAAAACATGATTGAAGGACAGGATAAAAGAGGACATCAGAAAGAAAGTCAAGATTGCAGTGCCTTGATCTTCCTTCCTAGAGGAGAAAGGAAGGATAATATTTCAAGATTAGGTCGCTCTAGCCCAGTGGTTCTCAACCTTTTTAATGCCGCGACCCCCAACCGGTCGTAAGTCGAGGACTACTCAACTGATGCAGCACCGTTTGCAGAATGGGACTTTTGGCAGGCTCAGCAGGGCAGAGACAGCCTGGACAATTCCTATTGGCTTTTGAAAGCCAATAGAATTAGACTCCATTCAAGAGAGTCTGTTCTATTGGCTTTCAAAAGCCAATAGAATAAAAGAGAGTAGCACAGCTAAGGAAAAGGGGGGAAAAAATGGCGGACTGCGTTGTTTGGCGACCCCTGTGAAATGGTCGTTCGACCCCAAATGGGGGCCCGACCCACAGGTTGAGAACCACTGCTCTAACCACATCAGATGTGGGGTCTGTTTCCTGACTTGGTCTACCGGGAAGGGCTGGGATCTGGCTAATTAATATCCAGTGGATCACACTCAAAAGACGATGCAGTTCTGTAAGCCAATGCACACAAATGGATTCACCCAGCAATTTTGACTGGGGAAGAATCGTTCGATCCGCAGCGGTTAAGTCAATCTGGTTTGGCCACTGACTTTACTTGTCGGAAAGTCGCCAAAGGGGATCGCCTGACCCCCCCCCCAGGACAGTGCAACCGTCGCAAGTACATGTCAGTTGCCAAGCCTTTGGATTTTGAGCACGTGACCATTGGGGGATGCTGCAACGATCCTGACTGTAAAAAGTGCTCAAAAGTCACTTTTTTTCCGGTGCTGGCCGTAACTTTGAGTGGTAGTAAATCAAAGGGCTGCTTCTATTGTTCCTAGCGTTAATTGCAGGGCCAGCTTAGGGTCTGGTACTTTGGTAGCAAATCAGGGGGTCCAAATTGTAGGAGATAAGCAGTATTTGGTCACCACGATGTAAAAAAGATGTTGAGACTCTAGAAAGAGTGCAGAGAAGAGCAACAAAGATGATTAGGGGACTGGAGGCTAAAACATATAAGGAACGTTTGCTGGAATTGGATATGTCTAGTCTAATGAAGAGAAGGACCAGGAGTGACATGATAGCAGTCTTCCAGTATCTCAGGGGCTGCCCCACAGAAGAGGGAGTCAAGCTATTCTCCAAAGCGCCTGAAGGCAGGACAAGAAGCAACGGATGGAAACTCATCAAGGAGAGAAGCAACCTAGAACTAAGGAGAAACTTCCTGACAGTGAGGACAATTAACCAGTGGAACCACCTGCCTCCAGAAGCGGTGAATGCTCCAACGCTGGAAGTTTTTAAGAAGAGACTGGACAGCCATTTGTCTGAAATGGCATAGGGTTTCCTGCCTGAGCAGGGGGTTGGCCTAGATGACCTCCAAGGTCCCTTCCAACTTCATTATTATTTCCTTTTGTCTTTAAGAGTAAGGGGCTTTTGGGGAGGGGGCAACAGAGCAGCTGTAGGAAGTAATTAGCTAAGGGCAGCCTCAAAAACCCAACACTTTTCTCTCGCAAGCTCCAAAGGAACGCAAAGAGCAATTTAATGAGGCCAGATAGAAGAATTTCATACTTCCCTGTTAAATAGTGCATTTTATTTATTTATTTATTTTAAAAAAACACTAGTGCGTTGTTAAGGCGTGGGATTAACATTGGACAGGTAGTCCTCAACTTACAACCGCAATTTCTGTTGCTAAGCGAGACCGCTGTTAAGTGGGTTTTGCCCCATTTCCCGGCCTTTCTTGACACAGTTAAGTAAATCGCTGCTGTTGTTAAGTTAGGAACACGGTCACGCCAAGTGAATCCCGTGACACCCCTCCCCCGGGACACTGCGACCTGTCATAAATACGAGCCAGGGGCAAAGGGTCTGATTTTTGATCAGACGAACGCTGCGAGTCATGTAAAAAGCAGTCAAAAATCACTTTTTTCCAGGGCTGCTGTAACCCTGAAGGGCAGTAAGTCAATAATATTGTTAATATTGCTCCTAGAATTAATTGCAGGGCCGGCTTAGTGTCTGGTAGTATATCAGGGGGGGGGTCCAGATTATAGAAGATATGCAATGTTTCCTCTTAAGAGTAACTGAATTAATTGCAGGGCTGGCTTAGTGTCTGGTAGTAAATCGGTGTGTGTGTGTGTGTGTCCAAATTATAGAAGATATGCAATATTTCCCCTTGTCTTAAGAGTAGCTGGTTTTTTGGGGTCGGAGGGCCCATATGAAGAAATTAGCAAGCTTCAAAAATCCAACTCTTTCATCCACGGAATACAAACAGCAATTTTAGTTGGGGCCAGACGGAAGAATTTCATACTTCCACGTTAAGTACAGGCAGTCCTCAACGTACGACTGCAATGAAGCCCAAAATTTAAGTCGCTGAGCGAGACATTTATTATAAGTGAGTGTTTTGCCCCATTTTACAACTTTTCCTGCCACGGCTGTTCAGCGAATCACTGCAGCTGTTAAATCAGTAACCCCGTTGTTAAGTGAATCCGGCCTCCCCCGTTGACTTTGCTTCTCAGAGCGTCGCAAAAGGGGGAAATCACGTGACCCTGGGACGCTGCGACCGTCGTAAACGCGAGTCGGTTGCCAAGCGTCTGAATTTTGAGCACGTGACCTTGGGGAGGCTGCAAACGGTCGTAAGGGTGAAAAACGGTCACTTTTTCCAGGGCCCGCTGTAACTTTAAACGGTCCCTAAGCGAACTGTTGTAAGTCGAGGACTACCTGTCGTGCATTTCACTTTAAAAAAACAACAACACTGGTGGATTGTTAAGGCGTATGATTAACACTGTAGATACTTTGTGCCGTTTCAGCGTACATTCATTCATTTTATATACTTCCCACAATTTTAAGGACTTGGATTTCAGGAAGAAATCCTTCTGATGGTGTGACATTGCACAATTCCAAAGGAAAGACTTGGGAAGAAGCGCGTCTGCTGAATATTGTGTAACAGCAGCTTAAATAATAACAACAACAATAATAATAGAGCAGATCTGGAAGATTGATGGCTTCTTGGCCAAGAAAGCAAACAATTTAGGCAGCTGGTAAAAGTTGTCTAATTGTAGCTAATTGTTACTGGAGGGCAGACCTGGCGAAACACTAGCAAAACTACATTTGAGAACTAGCAGCCTGCTTGCTGAGCACGGCTAGGGAGATTTCTAGGAAAAACAAACAAACAAACAAAAACGGAATTTAGCAGCTTGAGTGGAAGTTGTTAAAAGATCTGCAAAGCATCTTTTATATCGGGTGTCCGCCCTTGGCAACTTTTAGACTGGTGGACTTCAATTCCCAGAATTCCTCAGCCAGGCACGCTGGCTGAGGAATTCTGGGAGTTGAAGTCCACAAGTCATCAAAGAGCCAAGTTTGAAGACCCCTGGTGTGGTGTCACTTGGAGCAGTTTCTTGGGAAACTTGAAAGTGTGTGGACTTCAACTCCCAGAATTCTCCAGAGAATTCTGGGAGTTGAAGTCCACACACACTTCAGCTTGAGAAACAGAATCTGTTGCGGAGCACAGCCATAATGTAGTCCTCAACTACAGGTAGTTCTCAACCTACGTCCACAATTGAGCCCGACATTTCTGTGGTCAAGTGAAACATTTCTTAAGTGACTTTTGCCCCATTTTATGACCTTTCTCATCTCCGCTGTTAAGTGAATCACTGCAGTTGATAAGTTAGTAACCTGCTTGTTCAGTGACTCCGGTTTCCCCTGTTGACTTTGCTTGTCGGAAGGTCGCCAAAGGGGATCCCGTGACCCCCCCGGGGGACACTGCGACCGTCATAAATGTGAGTCGGTCGCCAAGCGTCTGAATTTGGATCGCTGCCGCAAAGGTCGTAACTGTGAAAAACGGTCACTAAACGAACGGTTGTGATTTCGAGGACTACCTGTATAATAAATAACCACAATTGTGAAGCCGATGCAGGCTGGCTCGGGAATTCTGGGAGTTGAAGTCCAGACATTTTCCAAGGTGGGGAAACCTGGCGTCAAGACAGCTGCAGGGAAGTCTAAGGTGGCACCTGGCTGAGAAAGGGTCAACTTCTTATTTGGGTGGGCTTGCAAATTAAGCGTGGGACGGGGGGGGGGGGAGATAGGAGGAAGGGTGTGGAGCCTGACATGCGTAGGTACTAAGGCAGGGGTCTTCAAACTTGGCCCTTTTAACACATGGACTTCAACTCCAAGAATTCCTGAGCCAGCATGGGGGAACTATGGCCCCTTCATGATTCATAGACTTCAACTCCCAGAATTCCTCAGCCAGCTGGGGAAACTATAGTCCCTTCATGACTCGTGGACTTCAACTCCCAGAATTCCTCAGCCAGCATGGGGGAACTATGGCCCCTTCATGACTTGTGGACTTCAACTCCCAGAATTCCTGAGCCAGCATGGGGGAACTATGGCCTCTTTATGACTCATGGACTTCAACTCCCAGAATTCCTCAGCCAGCATGGGGAAACTATGGCTCCTTCATGACTTGTGGACTTCAACTCCCAGAATTCCTCAATTCTGGGAGTTGAAGTCTGCAAGTCATAAAAGGGCCAAGTTTGAAGACCCCTGCCTTAGAGCAAGGGGTCCCCAACCTCAGCCACTTTAAGACTTGTGGACTTCAACTCCCAGAATTGCTCAGCCAGGAATTCTGGGAGTTGAAGTCCACCAGTCTTAAAAGTGGCTACGTTTGGAGATCTTCGCCTTAAGGATATCGAATGGAGCATCTTTCGGCTTTGACATATTTCTTCATCCAGACAGAAGCATTTAGTTCCAATTATGGACCGCCGGACATCTTATCAGTCAAATGAAAAATTCAGGAATGACTCTTGGGGGAGGGGGGAAGAAAAAAAAAAGCACGGATGTTGCTTGTGCCCTGGCAACGCCTCCCCAGACCATCGGCTTTCAGAGACCCAAATATTGTGACACAGCTTTAAAGTTGCAAACACAAGGAGAACCTCCCGCCGAGGGTTTTGCAGAGGTGCGTTGCGCTCGATCCCTTGTGATTCTTCGTCCTTCCCGGAGCAGAGAAAGGAAGGAAGGAAGGAAGGGGAATCTTGGGGTTGTGCCGAGAGCTTCCAAGGCGGCAGTCGGAGGCCCCCAAAGCCGGTGGCTGTTGTTATTCGACCGGTGGCTTCTTACGGCTTCTTCGTTGATTCTACTAAGAGAACAGGCCAAATCCCAAAGAGAAACTATTGGAAAAGGAAGGAAAAAAGGTTTTCTTAGGCTGTTGGGTCAAGACAAAAGAAAAGAAACTTACCTCCCGGGAGAAGTTCACTAGTCCTCAGTGATCTACAGTAATTACAGATAGTCCTCGACTTACGACGATCCTTTCAGGGACCGTTGGAAGTCACAACGGCGCTGGAAAAAAGGGACTTATGGTCCTTTTCTCACACTTACGACCGCGGCAGCGTCCCCAGGGCTGCCTGACCGAAATTCAGTGGCTTGGGGATTGACTCGTATTTATGACGGCTGCCAGGGTCACGGGATCCCTTTTGCGACCTTCGGGCAATAGGGAAGCCAGATTCACTTAACAACCCCGTTCCTAAGTTAACAACTGCAGTGATTCCCTTAACAGCGGTGGCCAAGGAAGGTTGTAAAATGGGGCAAAATTCACTTAACAACGGTCTCATCTAGCAACAGAAATTTTGGGTTCAACTGCGCTCGCAAGCTGAGGACCACCCGTAGTTATATCTATATCTTTTATGCACGTACAGTTTTACCCTAGGAGGAGAAAGTAATAATAATAATAATAATGATGATGATGGAAGGGACCTTGGAGGTCATCTAGCCCAACCCCCTGCTCAGGCAGGAAACCCTGTACCATTTCAGACAAGTAGCTCTCCAGTCTCTTCTTAAAAACTTCCAGTAACACAGATAGTCCTCGACCTACGACCACAATAGCAATAGCACTTCTATACTGCTTCACAGTGCTTTTGCAGCTCCCTCTAAGTCAGTGGTTCTCAACCTTTTTAATGCTGCGACCCCCCAACCGGTCGTAAGTCGAGGACTAAACCGGTCGTAAGTCGAGGACTACCCGACCAGTTGTAAGTCGAGGACTTTCCCTGCCTGAGAGTGCCGCGCATGCGTGGTGCCGCCCCCTGCGCTGGCCGAGGCGTAGCTGGCAAGCGGCAGAGATGGCACAGGCCGACCACCGGCTGGGCCACCAGCTGGCCCAGCCCAAGGGAGGTGAGGCACCCGCTGGAAAAGGGGAAAAAAAAAAATGGCGGACAGCCTTGCTTGGCGACCCCCCGTGAAATGGTCGATCGACCCCAAATGGGGTCGCGACCCATAGGTTGAGAACCGCTGCTCTAAGTGGTTTACAGAGTCAGCGTGTTGCCCCCAACTATCTGGGTCCTCGGTTTACCGACCTCGGGAGGACGGAAAGCTGAGTCAACCTCGAGCCTGGTCAGGATTGAACGGCAGGCTGTGTGCAGAGTTTGCCTGCGATACCGCACTCTAACAATTGTGTCATCGCGGCTCAGTGATTTTTAAGCAACGCATTTGTTAAGTGAGTTTTTTTCCCCCCGTTTTACGACCTTTCCTGCCACAGTTGTTAAGTGAACCACTGCAGCTGTTTAGTTAGCAATCCAGTTGTTGAGTGAATCTGGCTTTGATTGTCAGAAGGACGCAGAAGGGGACCATGTGATCCCGGGAACACTGCAGCCATCATAAATAGGAGCCATTTGCCAACTGCCTGAATTTTGATCACGTGACCATGTGGATGCTATAACACAGGGATCCCAAACTCTGGTCCGTGGACCAGTACCAATCTGTGGCATGCCAGCAACCGGGCCACACAAACAAGCAAAGCCCCATCTGCGGGATGCAGGCAGCACACAAAACCACACACCCACGACAAAACCTTTCTCCGTGGAATGGTCTCTGGTGCCCGAACGTTTAGGGACCTCTGCTATAACAGACGTTAAGTGTGAATAGCGGTCGTAAGTCGCCTTTTTCGATGCTTTTGTTAACTTTGAACAGTCACTAAACAAACTGTGGTTAAGTCGAGGCCTACCTGTATCGTCATTTCAGTTGGGTGGGATGCAGTAAACATTCCCAAAACAAAAATGAGTTCCATCCAGGTGCTTTTTTCCTAAAGCCAACTGGACCTTCTTGGTTTTTTTCCCCTCTTGAAGACGTTTCGCTTCTCATCCACGAAGCTTCTTCGGTTCAGTCCTCCAGGTCAGAACTGAAGAAGCTTCGTGGATGAGAAGCGAAACGTCTTCAAAGGAAAAAAAAAACAAAAAAATCCAGTTGCCTTTTGAAAAAAAAAAAAAAAAACACCTTGGGGACAACCAGGACCTCAAGAGACATTCAGATTACTTCTGCTACATCCAGTGGTACAATTGGGATAAATCCTGTTGTGATTCTGGAATAACCGCCTTGGCGAAGAGATCGGCGAACACATTAATTCAGGAGCTCCTTCTCCCGCTGAGCAGAGCCCACAAAACGGGCGCACCTTGTGTAAACATCTCACAAAGCTCGACAATTTTGACCACCTTGGCACTGACTGTGCTTTTTTACTTCCCTTTTTCAGCAAAAAGCCATGTGCAAAAATTCCTTCGTTAAGAGGCTCCTGCTTATTTTTTTTTTTTCAGATTTGCATAGGAAGCCAGAGGATTTAATAGGTCGCTAAGCACTTAGGTTGCTCTAGTTTCGGTGGGCAAAACTGGATTCCTAGATTCATCTGGCCTTTCATGCTGTCGGAAGCTCTTCCGATTTTTCCAAGGTGGGCTTAATCAGCAAGCAATTCCTAACATTTGTTTTCAGGGAGTCTTCTTTTCCGATGTAGCAGTAGAGTAAAGAAGAGGTCATAAATTAATTTATTATGAATCAAAATTAATTTATTATGAATCAAATTAATTTATTATGAATCAGTAGGTTAAAGAAGAGGTCATAAATTAATTTATTATGAATCAATGGTGGGAGACATTTTAGAGCAGGGCTCTCCAAATCTGGTCACTTTTAAGACTTGTGGACTTCAACTCCCAGAATTCCTCAGCCAGGCACGCGTGCCTGGCTGAGGAATTCTGGGAGCTGAAGTCCACAAGTCTTAAAGTGGCTCAGTTTGGAGAGCCCTATTTTAGAATAAAGATATGGGAGTCCTTTGGGAAATGTCAGAGGTCAGTTGCAGTGTTCAAAATAGGGCCTCCATGAAGGACTTTTGGAAAGAAACTTAAAGATTATTTTTAGGCATCCATTTTACAAACAACTGAAGGTAAGAGAAATGGCCTCGGTAAGGGTCTTTATAATGGCCTGGGAAGACCACACTTGGAATACTGCATCCAGTTTTGGTTGCCACAGTGTTCAAAAAAGATGTTGAGACTCTGGAAAGAGTGCAGAGAAGAGCAACAAAGAGGATCAGGGGACTGGAGGCTGAAACCTATGAGGAACAATTGCAGGAATTGGGTATGTTTAGTCTAGAGGGCTCAACCTCTTCTCCAAAGCACCAGAAGGCAGGGGAAGAAGCAACGGATGGAAACTCATCGAGGAGGGAAGCAACCTAGAACTAAGGAGGAATTTTCTTGACAGTGGGAACAATTAATCAGTGGAACTACCTGCCTCCAGAAGCTGTGAGTGCTCCAACACTAAGTTTTTAAGAAGAGACTGGACAGCCACTTGTCTGGAATGGCCTAAGGCAGGGGTAGGCAATCTTGGCTCTTTTATGACTCGTGGACTTCAACTCCTGAGCCAGCGTGGAGGAACTATGGCCCCTTCATGACTTGCAGACTTCAACTCCCAGAATTCCTGAGCCAGCATGGGGAAACTATGGCCCCTTCATGACTTGCAGACTTCAACTCCCAGAATTCCTGAGCCAGCCATGCTGAGGGGAAAGGGAGAGGTTTCCAAGCTGAGCCATGCTGGCTGAGGAATTCTGGGAGTTGAAGTCTACGAGTCATGAAGGGGCCATAGTTCCCCCATGCTGGCTGAGGAATTCTGGGAGTTGAAGTCCACGAGTCATGAAGGGACCATAGTTCCCCCATGCTGGCTGAGGAATTCTGGGAGTTGAAGTCCACAAATCGTAAAAGAGCCAAGGTTGCCTACCCTTGGTATAGGGTCTCCTGTTTGAGCAGGGGGTTGGACTAGAAGACCTCCAAGGTCCCTTCCAACTCTTGTCATTCTGTTAGGGGCAGAATTTGCTTCTAAGAAAGCAAATATGTTTCAGTAAGGAAATGACAACCCATTAACTTAACTTTTGGCCTCATCCCACTAGGACTGGCCTGTCCCATTTGCGCCACATAGGAGACACGCCCTGGACCTTGTCAGTCAAGTAATTTTGACTGGAGGGTATCTAGGAGAAGGGCCTTCTCTGTCATGGCTCCTGAGCTTTGGAACATCCCCACCCTTCAAGCCAGAAGGCTTGAATCCCCCCCATGGTGGAGTATCAGGCTGGAGGTGGTTGATGAATTTAGAGGCCATCCCACCCATCCACCCTCGCCCTCTGCTCCCTCCCTCCCCATCTTTTAATCCTAACTTCCATTTTTTATTATTTGAGGACTATTTTTCCCTTTTCCGGCTTTAATGCTTTCAATGCTGTGTCAGCCATGCGGGAGGTGCTTCAAAATGAGACTTGCAACCTATTCATCTAATTATAAAATTAGTCAAATAAAATAAAATAAAACAAACCAGGGGTCTTCCAACTTTGGCTCTGAGGAAATAAATGCAGCCTGGCAACGAGAGGCAGTCCTCGACTTATGACCACAACTGAGCCCCACGTTTCTGTCGCTGAGAGAACATTTCTCACGGGGGCTTTACGACCTTCTTTGTCACAGTTGTTAAGTGAGACACAGCAGTTGGTAACACACGGCTGGCAAGTGAATCAGCCATTCTCCCCCCCCTCCCCTTGACTTTGCTGGTCGGAAGGTGGCAAAAGGGGGAATCACATGGCCTTGGGACACGGCGACCGTCGTAAGTATGAGTTGGTTGCCCAGCGTCTGAATTTTGATCACGTGACCGTGGGGAGGTTGCAACGGTCCTAAGTATGAGTCGGCTGCCCAGCGTCTGAATTTTGATCACGTGACCGTGGACAGGCTGCGACGGTCGTAAGTATGAGTCGGTTGCCCAAGCGTCTGAATTTTGATCACGTGACCTCGGGAATGACGACCGTCGTAAGTATGAGTCGGTTGCCTAAGCGTCTGAATGTTGATCACGTGACTGTGGGGAGGCTGCGACGGTCGTTAAGTGTGAAAAATGGCCATTAAGTCGCTTTTTCCAGCGTTGTAACTTCAAACGGTCACTAAACGGATGATCATAAGTCGGGGATCACCTATCCTTCAAATTTTTCCTCAGTTCAAGAATTCATTTCTTAGAACATAACGACAGTTTGATAGGCTGCCTTAACCAAACTGGATTCCAGATTGGGAGTTACAAGTAATCCTGAACTTACAACCCTTTGTTTAGTTCGAAGTTACTACAGCTCTGAAAAAGAGTGAGTTGTGACCATTTTTCACCTTTACGACCGTTGCAGCCTCCCCCAGGGTCACGTGATCAAAATTCAGACGCCCGGCAACTCTGACTTATGACGATTGCCGTGTCCTGGGGGTCACGTGATCCCCTTTTGGTGACCCTCCGACAAGCAAAATCAATGGGGGAAGCTGGACTCATTTAACGACCGTGTTGGCTAACTTAACCACTGCAGCGATTCGCTTAATAACCATGGCAAGACAGGCAGTAAAATAGGGCAAAATTCACTTCACAAATGTTTCACTTAGACCAGGGGCCTTCAAACTTGGCCCTTTTGCCCTTTTATGGCTGACTGAGGAATTCTGGGAGTTGACGTCCACAAGGAATTCTGGGGGTTGACATCCACAAGGAATTCTGGGAGTTGAAGTCCACAAGTCATAAAAGGGCCATCTTTGAAGACCCCTGACATTTTAAGAGGTGTGGACTTCAACTGCCAGAATTCCTCAGCTAGCGTGCCTAGCTGAGGAATTCTGGGAGTTGAAGTCCAGAAGTCATAAAAGGCCAAGTTTGAAGAGCCCTGACATAATGTGAGGGGAAAATAATACTCAGAAAGAGCTAAACTGGTGTTTCTCAACTTCGGCCATTTTAAGAGATGTGGACTTCAACTCCCAGAATTCCTCAGCCAGTGTGCTTGGCTGAGGAATTCTGGGAGTTGAAGTCTACAAGTCATAAAAGGGCCAAGTTTGAAGAGCCCTGACATAATGTGAGGGGAAAATAATACTAACTCAGAAAGAGCTAAACTGGTGTTTCTCAACCTCAGCCATTTTAAGAGGTGTGGACTTCAACTCCCAGAATTCCTCAGCCAGAGTGCCTGGCTGAGGAATTCTGGGAGTTGAAACCCACCAGTCATAAAAGGGCCAAGTTTGAAGACCCCGGGGTTAGAAAAATTTAAATTTTGTGGCCGTTAAGTCGAGGAGCACTTGTGTTAATAAATCAAACTACACAGCTGGGATCTACTCCACCTTCAGCTTTCTCACTTTCTCAGAAGTCTTTCAGCTGAGGGGCTTTTAGGATTAAAATTACAACTCAACAAACTCTGAGGGGGAAAAAAAACAGATGGTTTATTCTGCTTTGAAATAGCAAACGCAAGCATTCAACGTTATCAATCTTTCAACGCAATAAGAGAAAATAAATAGGTTTCTGGAGGCAGGGCGCCCTGATATCTTCTTCTCAGTGTTATATTGACTCTGCAGATTTTATGTATGCCGTAACTTTTGTTTTTTTCTACAACAAACAAAAATAAAAAAATAAATCACTTATCCACTACTACAGGTTTGCCCTAAGAAACCTTTAGCTATTGGGGGGGTGGGGGGGACGAAACCCGCTGGACAGAGTCCTTAGCAGCTTACCTTGACCTTTGGCCTGTATTTCAGGTAAAGTGTCCGGGAATATAAACTAAAATCAGAAGAAGAGAGGGGAGAAAATGTTTTTATTTTTTTTAAAAAAAACATTTTGGATAAATCAGTTTGACTCAACATCACTGCCTGCACCTCTCTGGAACTCAGCTCCACCGCTGAAAGATCCATCTTTCCTCCTTCTTTGCTTCCTCCCTCCTTATCCCTCCCTCCCTCCCTTCCTTTCTTCCTCCTTATCCCGTCCTTCCTTCCTCCCTCCTTCCTCCCTCTTTATTCCTTCCTTTCTTCCTCCCTCCTTACCCCTTCCTTCCTTTTCTTCCTCCCTCCCTCCCTCCCCCGTTACACCTTTCCTCCTTCCTCCCTTCCGGGCCACGGAAAAACCTTCCTCCATGGAACTAGTCCCTTTTGGGCACCTCTGATTTACACAACACGCTATCGAGGAGGAACTCTTCCGCCCCGAAACCCAGGGGAAAGGGAAGGGAACCTACCTGAACAGGATGTGAAGGTAGGAACCGAGTCCCGTGAATATGTGCCACCAAGCGTGAAACTGCGTGACAACGCTCACGAGCGGAGGCAGCCTTTCACGTAACCCCCTGTGGAGAGACACAATCACCAAGTCACACATTTGCTTCCCAAAGGAGAGGAGAGGAGAGGGGAGAGATGAGGAAGAGGAGAGGAGGAGAGGAGAGAGGGAGAGGAAAGGAGAGAGGAGAGGGGGAGGGGAGAGGAGAGGGGGGGAGAGGAGAGGAGGAGAGGAGAGGGGGAGGGAAAGAGGAGAGGGGGAGAGGAGAGAGGAGAGGGGAGAGGGGGAGGGAGGAGAGGACGGGAGGAGAGAGGCAGGGGGAGGGGAGAGGAGGAGAGGAGAAGGAGAGGGGAGAGGAGAGGGGGAGGGGAGAAGAGAGGAGAGAGGAGAGGAGGAGAGAGGAGAGGGGGAGAGGATAGAGAGAGGGGGTGGAGATAGGAGGGACAGGGGAGGGGAGAGGAGAGAAGGGAGGGGGAGAGGGGAAGGGGAGAGGAGAGGGGGGGAGAGGGAGAGGAAAGAGGAAAGGGAGAGGAGAGGGGGAGGGGAGAGGAGAGAGGGGGAGAGGAGAGGAGGGGGAGAGGAGAGGGGGAGGGGAGAGGAGAGGGGGAGGGAAAGAGGAGAGGGGGAGAGGAGAGGGGGAGAGGGGTGAGGGGGAGAGAGGAGGGGAGGAGAGAGGACAGGGGGAGGGGAGAGGAGGAGAGGAGAGGGGGAGGGGAGAAGAGAGGAGAGAGGAGGAGGGGAGAGGAGAGAGGGGTGGGGATAGGAGGGGACAGGGGGAGGGGAGAGGAGAGGAGAAGGGGAGGGGAAAGGGGGAGGGGGAGGGGAGAGGAGAAGGGGAGAGGGGAAAGAAGGGGCGGGGATAGGAGAAGTCAGGGTGATGGGAGAGGACAGAGGGAGAGAAGAGGGGGCGGGGAGAGGAGGAGAGAAGAGGGGAGAGGAGAGGGGAAGGGGAGAGGAGAGGGGATTCTTTGAGGGAAGGAAAGGGTTGTCTTAAATTTGAAACTGGGAATAAATATTTCCAAAATATTGCAGAACAAACGGATGGACGTTCCTATTGTATCTCCTGAGCGGAGACAGAAGAGCAGGAGTTATGCTGATCTCTGTGCAAAGAGGGATCCAAAGGGAAAGTCTTCCATCAAAAAAAGCCCAGGCTCCACAAATCTCATCAGGAGGAGGGGGACTCTCTTACTAGATGTCCCACTGGATGAGCAGAGTCCATTCTGCCAAGGGGGTGCCTGATAAACCCTGTGGTTTTCATTATCCTAATTAGTGATCATTGGCAGTTTGATTCGGGGCCCAGAAGCCTGCTGATAACCAGCTCAGAGAATTGAAGCTTTGTGTTATCTTATGCTGGCAGGACTGTCTCCGCTCAGGACTCTAGCTGCTGCGTTTTTTGTCCCTTCAGGGTTGTCTCCAAGGGCAGCCCTATGTAGAAAGCATTACGGCAGTCCAGGCAAGGGGTCATCAAAAGCAACAGGAGAACAAAAGCCCTGGTGTCAGAATTGTTTCTCCAAATCTAGCTACATCCAGCTACCTGAGCAAATTTTTGGTGCGTTCAGAGAAGTGCAAGATGAAGGAGGAGGAGCAGGAGGAGGAGGAGGGGAAGAGGGAGAAGGAGAAGAAGAAGGAGGAGGAGGAGGAAGAAGAAGGAAGAGGAGGAGGGGAAGGGGAAGAAGGAGAAGAAGAACTGGAGGAGGAGGAGAAGGAGAAGAAGAAAGGTTAGTTGAGGCAGGAGGAAAAAGAAAAGTAGAAGGAAGAAGAAGAAGAGAAGAAGAAGAAGAAGAAGAAGAAGAAGAAGAAGAAGAAGAAGAAGAAGAAGAAGAAGAAGAAGAAGAAGAAGAAGAAGAAGAAGAAGAAGAAGACTGGAGGAGAAGGAGAAGAAGAAGGAGTTGGAGGAGGAGAAAGGTTAGTTGAGACAGGAAAAGAAAAGTAGAAGGAAGAGAAAGAGGAAGAGGAAAAGGAGAAGGAGAAGAAGAGCAGCGAGGAGGTGGCGTCAAGAGAGGCATCAGCCTGGAATCCTTACATTCCCACAAGCTATCCAAGCCCGCCCTCCTTTAAATCCCATTAACTCTTACCTAGTGCCAATTTAGGGCTAACTAGATCCTCGTAGACAGACATGCGCAAGGCATCAGCTGAACGGAAACTTCCCGTGTGGCCCCGATTCTTCCCGCTTTGGACGGAAGGGAGAGGGACCGAACTCTACCCGCCGAAAGAGGACGGAAAAGCACCCGGTCTCTGAAATTCACCTACCTCAATTTCTCGCAGAAAATATTGTCCACATTCCAGAGGAGGAAGCCCAGCAAAAAGATGGTCAGGGATGTGTATCCCAGCCCTCGGAGCCAGGGGTAAACCCTAGAAGGAAGAAGGACCACCTTAAGTCTCCTTAAAGCAGTGGTTCTCAACCTTTTTAATGCCGCGACCCCCCAACCGGTAGTAAGTCGAGGACTACTCAACCGGTCGTAAGTCGAGGACTACTCAACTGGTGCAGCACCGTTTGCAGACTGGGACTTTTGGCGGGCTCAGCAGGGCAGAGACAGCCTGGACAATTCCTATTGGCTTTTGAAAGCCAATAGAATTAGACTCTATTCAAGAGAGTCTATTCGATAGGCTTTCAAAAGCCAATAGAATAAAAGGGAGTAGCCCAGCTAAGGAAAAGGGGGGAAAAAAATGGCGGACTGCGTTGTTTGGCGACCCCCGTGAAATGGTCGTTCGACCCCAAATGGGGTCCCGACCCACAGGTTGAGAACCCCTGCCTTAAAGTTACTTTGTGTCATTCTGCTATGGGGGGGGGGGGGCAGGTCTTCCTTGGGAAGATTTATTTGTATTCTGCCTGGCAGTTTGGGAAGGTGGGGTTATTGATTAATATCCTGCCTTTATTATTATTATTTTTACAAATAATTCCAGGCAGTGTACCCAATACTCCTCCCTCCTCCTACTTTCCCCACAATAACCACAATCCCGTGAGGTGGGCTGAGCTGAGCGATAAGAGAGACCGATTGGCCCAAAGTCACCCAGCTGGCTTTCCTGCCTAAGGCAGGACTAGAACTCGCCGCCTCCCAAAATGTCCGTCGTAAGCAAGGAGGCTGCTCCGGGAGTTTCGCCCCACCTTACAACCTTTTTTTTATTTTGCTGCGGTTGTTAAGCGAATCACGGCAGTTGTTAAGCGAATCTGGCTAACACCCCCCCCTTCCCGCCACTGACTTGGTTGCCGGAAGCCAGCTTGGGAAGGTCACCAATGGGGATCGCGCAACCTCGGAATTAGTGCAACTGTCGTAAGTACATGCCAGTTGCCAAGTCTTTGAATACGGATCATGTGATTGTGGGGATGTTGCAATGGTCGTAAGTGTGAAAAGTGGTCACAAGTCACTTTTATCGGTGCTGTTGTCATTTAGAGCAGTCGCTAAACGAGTGGTTGTAAGGCAAGAACTACCTGTATTTGGGGCTTAGGAGGCCCAAATACAGGCAGTGCTCGACTTAGAAGCCTAATTCACTCCCAAATTACCCTCGCTAAGCTGTTAGGTGAGTTTTGCCCCATTTTACGACCTTTCTTGCCACAGTTGTTAAGGGAATCGATGCGGTTGTTAAGTTAGCGACACGGTGGAGGAGTGAAACACAGCCTGACATTTCTTACATAAAACGTACAATAGTGGCCAAAATTGTGGAAACCTTTTGGGAAAAGTGTACAGTAGAAATGCCACTTTTGGTTAAGTTTCCACCCATTTTTCTTCTCATTTCTTTATAACTGTAGCCTTGTTCACTTAATAATACTATTTTACATCGCTTTCTGGGCGACCAGTCAGCTCTTTGCACCATGGCTTTAATTTTATTACGTCTTACAAGCTCACTCAATAAAAGAACACACAAAAAAAACCCAACCATCTTTATAGCCATCACACAACACACTGACAAATGTCCTCCTCTCGGCTTCAATACAGGACATCAATAACTGAATCTTACGGTGATCTGATTGGCTCATGGCCAAAACAAGATGATGCCTGATTGGCTGTGTAAACACTCATGCTCATTGGCTACAATCAGAGGAAGGAAAGCTACCTGAGATCAACCTAAGCAAGTTGTGCTTCCTTTTTCTGGTTATTTGGCTATAACCCAGTGATGGTGACATCCTGTGTGGTTTTTGTGAGTGTGGGTCTGGTGTCATTTTTTGTGTTAGGGAGTCGTTTGTCAGTAAGGGCGGGTTTCCAAATGGCTGGTAGGCGGGTGTCACCACCACACATCCACGCAAAAAGCAAACCCAAAGCCACACCGATGATGAGCCACAACCACAAACCAGAAGCCAGACCACAGCTGCATCATTAGCCACTTTAAACCCCTCCAATCCATACATGAAGCAAACTGACACCCTCCATGAAGATGAGGCACGACCACGAAGCCAAAAAATAGCAATTCAGCTCACCATTTTAAACCCCCCTGCAACTCAGACTAACCTGAGCACAACAAAGCCCCCACCCAAACAGAACACTCCCCGAGCCAATCAGAGCACAGCCAACCCCCCCAGCCAATCAGAGCACAGCCAAGCTCCTAACCAATTAGAACACACCTCCATCCAATCAGAACACAGCCAAGCTCTCATCCAATCAGTTCATATCCCCACTGGCAGTTAAAAGGAGGAAACAGCTACAATCACACATTGCTCCTAGAAGCACGAAGCCGAAAGCACCAGCCTGAAGATGACGAATGAGACTTCGTTGAAACGTCGCCAAGACACTTCCAATTTGATGCGGGAGAAAACCCGAATGACCAAAGATCTACATACAAACACCCGCGAAAACCTCAGAAAACACACACACATACATACATACATACATACATACATACATACATACATATTTATATTTATATTTATATTTATTTATTTATGATACTTCTCCCCAAAAGAAAGTGATGTTATTAGCCATCAAACCTCAAAAAATACGCTTTTCCCAAAAGGTTTCCACAATTTTGGCCACTACTGTAGGTACGTTCACCAGTGGGGGAAATACAGGTAGTCCTCGACTTACGACCACAATTGAGCCCCAAATTTCTGTTGCCAAGTGAGACATCCCTCAAGTGGCTTTTGCCCCATTTTACGACCTGGCTTGCCACAGTTGTAAAGTGAGACACCGCAGTTCGCAACACGGTCGTTAAACGAATCTGTCTTCCCCCATCGACTTTGCTTGTCGGAAGGTCGCAAAAGGAGATCACGTGACACCTCCTCCCCGGGACTCTGTCATAAGTACATGCCAGTTGCCGAGCCTCTGAATTCTGATCACATGACTGCGGGGACACTGCCACCGTCGTAAATACGAGTCAGTTGCCAAGGGTCCGAATTTCGATCTCGTGACCGTGGGGCATGCTGCACGCTGGTCGTTAAGCGTGAAAAAGGGTCGTAAGTCACTTTTTTAAATGCTGTTGTCACTTTGAACTGTCACTAAATGAACTTTTTATAAGCTGCACTCTACCGATATACGGCGCCATAGTGGCAACTCCGATTTTCCACTTGGGGACTCGTGTAGGAAAATGGTGCTCCAATCTTAAATTTGCAGCTGGGATGGCAATTATTTTCCAAGCCCCAGAGACAGGGGTTGTTGACACACAAACAATGGCGCTCCAGGCTATCTTTTTTTTTTGGGTTGTTCCTGGTTACCAAACCAACGGAGCAGATTCCAAGGCAGCAGAGCAGCAGAAGGAAGGCTGAGGCTTATCGGAAAATCAGCCATTCAAATTTCACCCTCTGCAATTTAGACCCGTTGGGTAGCTGTAAGGGCGGGTAGCCCTGTCTTAGTTAACGCCTTACTTACCATAACACTATATACACAGAGCGTAGAACAATAACAGCCACCAGCGTCCCATACATAACCTGGGGGAGAGAGAGAGTTCTGATGAATGCGTTAAAACAACACTGCGCCTGCTTTTCCAGCAAAACCAGGCAAGATGACACTTCGTGGGTTATATTTTTACCTAAGGGTCTTCAAACTTGGCCCCTTTGTGACTTGTGGACTTCAACTCCCAGAATTCCTCAGCCAGCATGGGGGAACCATGGCCCCTTCATGACTTGTGGACTTCAATTCCCAGAATTCCTCAGCCAGCATGGGGAAACTATGGCCCCTTCATGACTTGTGGACTTCAATTCCCAGAATTCCTCAGCCAGCATGGGGGAACTATGGCCCCTTCATGACTCGCGGACTTCAACTCCCAGAATTCCTCAGCCAGCATGGGGGAACTATGGCCCCTTCATGACTTGTGGACTTCAATTCCAGAATTCCTCAGCCAGCATGGGGGAACTATGGCCCTTTTCTGGACTTCAATTCCCAGAATTCCTCAGCCAGCATGGGGGCCCCTTCATGACTTGTGGACTTCAATTCCCAGAATTCCTGAGCCAGCATGGGGGAACTATGGCCCCTTCATGACTTGGGACTTCAACTCCCAGAATTCCTCAGCCAGCATGGGGGAACTATGGCCCCTTCATGACTTGTGGACTTCAACTCCCAGAATTCCTCAGCCAGCATGGGGGAAACTTGGCCCTTTCATGAATTGTGGACTTCAACTCCCAGAATTCCTCAGCCAGCATGGGGGAAACTATGGCCCCTTCATGACTTGGGGACTTCAACTCCCAGAATTCCTCAGCCAGCATGGGGGAAACTTGGCCCCTTCATGACTTGTGGACTTCAACTCCCAGAATTCCTCAGCCAGCATGGGGGAACTGTGGCCCCTTCATGAGTTGTGGACTTCAACTCCCAGAATTCCTCAGCCAGCATGGGGGAACTATGGCCCCTTCATGAGTTGTGGACTTCAACTCAGCCAGCGTGCCTGGCTGAGGAATTCTGACAGTTGCACTCCACAAGTCATAAAAGGGCCAAGTTTGAAAACCCCTGTTTTTACCCATACCCTTCATCCAGTTTTTGAATGAAAATTTCATTTCATTATAAATGCAATTTCTGAATTCGGCTGAAACAGCAACGATCCCAAGGGGTTTACAGGTTCGTATGTGAAATGCTAAGTCTTTTTTTTTTAAAAGAAATTGAGATAAAACAACAAGTCGCGTGGAACCTGTTATGTGGCGAGTCACTGATATTACACCCCTTGGGTAACCAATAAGATTAAGATTCTTAGTCATCCAGATTCACAGTTTGAGACAATTAAGTGAAAGGTGTTCCAGGGAAGGGTTATGCCAGCTGCAATTAAATGCAGGTTACAGACCCGTGGCTGAGATAGGTTCCCTGGGTGGTTCCTAAGTGGGAAATTGCACAAAAGGCATGAATAGCCGGTTTTCCTGGGTTTTGTGAAGAAGTCAGCTGAAGAACAGCAGCTCAGAGTCGCTTGATAGTGAGATGTAAATTTAATAAATTTGGGGGTCCTTGGGGTTGGTTGCTTTCTTGCAGACGTTTGATTACCAAACTAGGTAACATCATCAGTGCTAGGAGAGAGTGGGGCTTGAGGAGGAGGAGGAAAGAAGAAGGAGGAGGAGGAGGAGGAGGAGGAGGGGGGAAGGGGAAGAGAGAGAAGGAGAATAGAGAAGGAGAAGAAGAAGAAGGAGGAGGAGGGGAAGGAGGGGGGAGGGGAAGAGGGAGAAGGAGAAGAAGGAGAAGGAGAAGAAGAAGGAGGAGGAGGAGGAGGAGGAGGGGAAGAGGGAGAAGGAGGAGGAGAAGGAGGAAGGGGGAGGGGAAGAGGGAGAAGGAGGAGGAGAAGAAGAAGAAGAAGAAGAAGGAAGAAGGAGGAGGAGGGGAAGAGAAAGAAAGAGAAGGAGGAGGAGAAGGAGGAGGAAGAGGAGGAGGAGGAGAAGGAGAAGAAGAAGAAGGAGGAGGAGGAGGAGGGGAAGAGAAAGAAGGAGGAGGAGGAGGAGGAGGAGGAGGAGGAGGAGGGGAAGAGAAAGAAAGAGAAGGAGGAGGAGGAAGAGGAGGAGAAGGAGGAGGAGGAGGAGGAGGAGGAGGAGGAGGAGAAGGAGAAGAAGAAGAAGAAGAAGAAGAAGAAGAAGAAGAAGAAGAAGAAGAAGAAGAAGAAGGAAGAAGAATAAGAAGAAGAAGAAGAAGAAGAAGAAGAAGAAGAAGAAGAAGAAGAAGAAGAAGAAGAAGAAGAAGAAGAAGAAGAAGAAGAAGAAGAAGAAGAAGAAGAAGAAGAAGAAGAAGAAGAAGAAGAAGAAGAAGAAGAAGAAGAAGAAGAAGGGGATCTTCAGAGCTGCCCAGTGCCTCCCCTGGATGCATCTGAGAAGACCTCCAAATCAGCCTGGAAAACGGAGCTGCTTCCCTGCCACCCTTCAGCAACAACAATCCAGGCCTGTTGTGTAGGACTTAGGGTAGTAAACAGGTATCTCAACTACAGGCTATCCTCAGCCCCATCCTTCCTCAATTCAGCAGAAGTGCCAGGAGCAGCTTCCGCGGTTTAACTCCACCACCTCGTATTCCTGCAGGGATGGGAGATGCCGCCCGCCCCGTAGGAAACCAGGAATATGCAGATGCTCCTCCTCTATTTGTATCTGCTGATTAGTGGGTATCACCTTTGGGTTTGTATGGCCTGGCTCTGGGACACAGCCCGGGGCCTTGGGTGTGTGGCTGAGCCTGCATTATGATTGTGTTGACTGTGTTGGAAATTTTATCACTATTTATTGCTTTTGTCCTGACCTGTTTTAACTTGCTCTATTGCTCTGGAGACGGGCAGCCCACTAAATGTGCCCCGTTTTATGACCTTTCAAGGCACGGTTGCTAAGTGGATCGCCGCAGCCGCCATTAACCCCCGTTGTAAAGTGAACCACTGCATTTGTTAAGTTAGTAAACCTGGTTGTTGACTGAAACTGGCTTCCCCATTGGCTTTGCCTGTGGCCAAAAGGGATCCGGTGATCCCGGGACACTGCGGCCATCATACAGAGGACTTCCTTTTCATGTATCTTCTAATCCAGGGCTTTTCAACCTTTTCACCCACTGTACCACTTTTAGGAGATGGCAACATCCGAGGACCACCGGTCGCCTAGCAAGGTGTCAAAAACTTGATGACCCCCCCCCAAAAGGAAAAAAGCGATAAAATACAGGGAGTCCTCGACTTACATCAGTTCACTTAGTGACTGTTTGAAGTTACAGTGGCACCAAAAAAAGTGCCCCCCAAGGCACAGCCGAGCAAGACACCTGCCTGCCCGCCCGGCCGTACTCTTCCTCCTGTCTGAGGTTTTCATTGTTGTGAGCATTTCTGTTGAGGATTGGCAGCGAGGGTGGGGTGGGGGGTGTTTGATTTTTATTCCCCCCCCCCCGTCTGCTGGGTGGTTGCAGCAAGTTTTGGTCACTTCCCATGACCCTGGGACACTGTGACCGTCATAAACATGAATCAGTTGCCAAGCATCTGAATGTAAATCACAAGACCCTGGAGAGGCTGCAACATTCCGGCTGATCGGCGTTTCTTCTGGGCTCAGCAGAAGCGCCAGGATCAGCGCTGAGCTCCAGCTGGATCCTGGCGCTGATCCTGGCGCTTCGGCTGAGTCCCGACAGCCCTGCAGCTCCAGGCATCTCTCGCTCAGGCTTGTGCGATGCTGCCACCGGTTCAGCTCATTCCCCTCAATTTTCTAGGATGGTCGCGTACCACCTGCCAGGTGCCAATGCACCACAGGTGGTACCCGTACCCCTGGTTGAAAAGCCCTGATCTAATAAAACACAGGTCATTCTCAATTTAGGATGACAATGGAGCCCAGCATTTCTGTTGCTAAGTGAGACAGTTATCAAGTGAGATTTTTTTTTCCCCATTTCACGACCTTTCTTGCCACAGTTGTTAAGTGAATCACTGCAGTTGATATTTGGAAATCAGTTGAAAATAAGGATTTTATCGGTTTAATATTTAAAAATTAGATTTAAAAGGGAAAAGAAAATTAAGTATTGTGAATATGTTTGATCTATTGATTAACCCGGGCAATATATATATACTGGTTTTGATTTATTAAAGGGGATTTTGTGTTATTAAGTAGATGATTTAATATGGCAGGAAATGGATAACTCTTAGGAGATAGAATAAGATTATATTCAAATAGAGTTTGCTGCTCAGAAGGTCACAAAAAGGGGATCACACATAATAATAATAATAACAACAACAACAACAATAATAAAGTTGGAAGGGACCTTGGAGGCCATCTAGTCCAACCCCCTGCTCAGGCAGAAAACACTATACCATTTCAGACAAATGGCTATCCAGTCTCTTCTTAAAAACTTCCAATGTTGGAGCATTCACTGCTTCTGGAGGCAGGTAGTTCCACTGGTTAATTGTTCTAACTGTCAGGAAGTTTTTCCTTAGTTCCAGGTTGCTTCTCTCCTTGGTTAGTTTCCATCCGTTGCTTCTTGTCCTGCCTTCTGTGCTTTGGAGAAGAGCTTGACTCCCTCTTCTTTGGGGCAGCCCCTGAGATACTGGAACACTGCTATCATGTCCCCCTCGTCCTTCTCTTCGTTAAACTAGACATTCCCAATTCCAGCAACTGGTCTTCACGTGTTTTAGCCTCCAGTCCCCTAATCATCTTTGTTGCTCTTCTCTGTACTCTTTCTAGACTCTCAACATCTTTTTTTACATAGTGGTGAACCCGGGGACACTGTGACAACCGTTATGTATGAACCCGTTGCCAAGCTTGTGGATTTTGATCATGGGATGCTACAGTGGTCATAAGCGGGAAAAGACAGCCATAGGTCTGTCATTGTAACTTCAAACGAATGTTTTTAAGTCAATGACCGCCTGTGTGTGGATCTACTCCGGTGGCATGAATCCTTCTGCAGCTTGTTGTGATATCCTTAAGTGGCCAAAAAGGCCACTTAAATCTAGTACAGGTTAAGCTCTCGACTTACAACAGTTCATTTTTTCTGAGCGTTCAAAGTTACAACGGCACTGGAAAAAAGTGTG